GAAATGATAGACTAGTTTAAGTTGTTTCCACTGTTGATAGGAAAATGCAAGTGTTCGCGCCCGCGAACATTTTGAAAGGTAATGGAAACGCGGCCATTAATAAGCTTGACTTTGTTAAGATTATTATTAAGTCACATTGAATATTGATTACTTGGTCAACATACCCTTTTAAATTGCAATGGGATTTGTGGTGCTGGTTTCGGTTGGCCACGATTCCTATTCCTGTGTAGACAACCACTGTTCCTGGTGGCCTTGGGAGTGAGGTCAAGTGCGATCGGTCGGTCGGACCATGTAATTACCGCTTATGCCTATGGATGCCGCTAAACACCACTAAACGGAGATATTCATTTTTTCAAAGCAATAGTTTTAACAGTTTTACAGATGTTATCGCGGGCCGCCAGAAATGTTTCGGCGGGCCGCCAATGGCCCGCGGGCCGCACTTTGAGAACCTATGCCTTAAACCAAGCTAACACGGTGTCAGCTTACAAGTTTACGACCTCAAAGGAATGTGCAGGGACTGAGTCCTGGGGGAGAAATGAAACCTTTGTACTCCTATATGTATATATATATATATATATCTCCTATGCATAACCATGCGATACATGTATCTAATCTCACGTTACGATTTGTCTTTTATGTGTGCGTGTTCGTCCATGTTACATTGGAAAGACTATGAAGTTATCATTATGCATTTTACATATAACTGTCTATTCCCAGAATTGTTATAAATCGTTCTTGGTCTTGTTTTAATTCTCAGAATCGGATGTGTGGCATATTTAGTCTTGGTACTGTGAAAAGGACTGTATACTGATATGTCAGTGGCAACAACACATTAGTGGCCAACAGCATCTTTCATAAGTTTCTTCACCAGCTAACACCCCCACCCCAGCGTGCACACGCCACGAACACTCTAGAGACAAAGGGCCATAAAACCAGAACTCCCGCCTGTGAGTCCGACCTTCTGATTGGCTGAGCCAACACGAAGAGGTTGTAACTCCCCCGAGACTATAAAAGGATCTTCCCTTCCTCCTCTCCGGCCCTCTTGTGTTCTCTCGATTTCCCGACATCACGTAACGTCCATATCTCCCCTACGGGGGGATTTATCGTTTCTTTTGTTTCTCTTGTTAAAGTTTGCCTACTTTGTTCAGCTTCCCGAAAAGGAAGTGAACTTAGCCGAACTTTCCCTGGAAAATTCACCTCACAGACTTTAACCCTTTCAAACAAGCGCGCACGCAGGACCACGCGAGCCATGGAGCGCGCACACGTACAACACAGGACCTCCTCTTGCGCACGCGGCCGAGAAGGGTCGCGTGCAGGAATGCAGCATCACAGAGAACGAGACAATTTGCAAGTATACATGTTCATCAAAGCTTCTAAGAAGCTTACCATGTTTTTCCATGTTGTCCAAAAAGGGATAGACTGTTCAGGTGAATTGTTCCTACTCTGTGATCTTTCGAGATTCTGCCGAACTCCTCTCAATCTCTCTCTCTCTGATCAATCTCTCTCTCTCTCTCTCCAACTCACTTACGCGTATCCACTGTCTAAACGCCCTGCGTCGTCTTAGTTTGTGTTTTAATGTTTGTAAATACATGTATCATTGTAACGTAGTAAATGTATAAGTAGTTTTGCCATTATTAAATGCAATATATATTAAAAGTCTTATACTCATTGTTGACTGAATCCCTGCTCATAAACTAGTCAATGAAATGTTGATCAAAAGCTACACGCTTTACATAATTGAAGATACCTAAAAAGGGTATTTGTTTATAGAGCGGGAAAACTAATTATTGTGGCCACAGAATTACTTTTCATAAACTCTATAACTAAATTGAGCTAATTAATTTTGCCTGTCTTGTAAAACGTGGTCCGTGTAATTAACTGCAATTAATTTGTGGTTAATTGCAGGGATGCACATGCATGCATTTCGGTAAAATTACAAAGGCTTCCCTCGATGGGAGATTTATTAACATGTAAGACCGATCTAATCCAAACATGTATGAATAATTATTAATTATCAATTATTGATTATGATATGCAAATTCCCCACGGATTAGATCCGCCCAGAGTCTTTACATGAATGGTGGAGAATGCGGGCATTTCAAACTTGTTTATGAGCTATCAGTTTCAATCTAATGTGTATATTGTTATTTAATAATGTTTATGTAATATTCAATATTACATGCGCGCCTCGAGGAGTGAGCGAACGCAATGCGAACTCACTGGCTGACTGATTAAAGGCAAAAGCCGTCTCAGTTCAGCAAACCTAAAAAGTAAACTGCAGTTTCATAGTATTAAATTTGTCTTACAAAAGACGAATAAACCTCTTTTGAATTATGACATTTTTAATGTTAAACTCCTTTTGACCGAACGACGTTCTTCGGAAAAAGTGAAGACAAGAGTTAGTGAAACGATGCTCTTTCACTATTCTTAAAAGGCCTGATATTATAATCGTTTGATCAACGATAAACTCCTGGTTAAAAACATTGACTTAGCTACTCAATTGTAAAACCTAAAGCATACTAAATCATAAGTGCTATTTGATTATGCCTATGGGAGCAGAAAGCAGACGAACAATTCCTGTTTTCTTTTGCACAGCGCAGCGAAGAAATCCTGCCAAATGTGTTTGTAAAATATAGCACCGGAAAGAAATCCGTCGAGATTTAAAATTCCGTAATATTCGTGATTATTCAGCAGGGAGGGGGTAACGCTCCACGCCCTCTAAATAAATCACAGGGGAGCAGGCGGGTGTAATTCTGCTGCCAAACACTAGGGCGCAGCCTTGAGTACTTTGCAGCATCAAATTACCACAGTGTCCTGGCTTTACCCCGGGTGAGCGCAATAGCGCCATCGTGTGGACACTAACAGCTAGGTCATCCTTTCCTCAAAATTCTCTTAGAAAAATCCTACTTTCTTACTGAATTTTGAGTTTCTCTAACTTTCAATGCATGTGCAATTTACAGCCTCGTTTTAATAACATGATTTTCCTTGCCTTGACTGTGTGCACTTGTTTTGAATCTGGTGCATACCACATTTGAACTTAAAATTCAAAATTAAGTCTTGGCAGCTTCTGATGACCACTTAGAGGGAAAGCGCCCCCTTGTGGCCTCCCCTTTGCTAAGTCATCATCACCTAACATCTCTGTTCTGAATGGCTCTCTCCTAGTTGGTTTTATTTTGGTTACTACCACCGACACCTCACTGTAGTCGTGATCGTAATCAAATATAAGGCCAACCTTTAATTTCCTACACTTCTTCAAATTTGGTTTGAAGCAAACAAATTTCAAGGTTAATTTGAATTAAGTCTCTCATTTCCCGTCGGGAATTGTTTTGTGGCTCTATTTCTATATTTCCTTTTCAAATTATTTTTAATAATTTTGATTTGGTTTTATTACAACTGTATCCTTACTAATCTAGAGGTTACCCAACACCTATGCATTTGCTCAATTTGAATTGTGTTTAAATCAGTTTGAATACAATTCAAATCAAGCTCCACATCCATAGTGGTCCAAACCCGCTACTACGGCTGGCTTCCTCCTGTGCTCTTCATTGCTGCACTTTATCCCTTTCCGGAATGGAGGCTAGGTTATTCTGATAATTAACATTGTCATAATTCCCTTTTTGTTTATACCATAATTTTTAGTAAAGCCATTGCCTTTGATTTTTCTACCAAAATAGACACTCAATTTTGATTTAGATAAAGGAGCTTTAATTCACATTGAAGTACACTTGTTCTTCATCCTTTTTTGTGTTTGCAAGTAGAAATCTCTCTCGTGCCGTGGTGATTTGACAGTCATCTCTGCTTGGGGTCCGGCAGGCTGGTTCATCTGATCTGCGTCACCAGCGATGACTGAGCGCGGGTCTCGGACTTTCCTGTATCTTTCCGTTGGTGCGCCCCGCAACACGACATCACCAATCTGGCACCGCCGGTTGTGTTCAAGGTCAAGTTGCTGGAGAGGGCGCACCTCGGTACAGATGCACCGAAAGGCCCGGGACACTGCTGTCATGTGTTGGGGGCGACAGAGGGACCAACCACGATGCTGACTCCAACCAGAATGACCCCATTTCACCCCAGGCAAACTAGAAAGGTATTAAACCCATACACTTAGTATTGGCCACAGAATCTAGAGATTCCCCTGGTCATTGAAGTGTTTGGCTCCCTCCTCTCCAAGCCACAAACTGCAGGCTTAGGCCTCCTCTTCCCTTGTAACACTTCCTGTGTCACTATTAATGCCATTTCATCACAGACCTTCTCATCCTTGTTAGATGCATGTTACTTCAAACCTTGCTATCTTGCCATTGCTCTTTTCAGTCCACCTAGAGACAGAACCTATCTGAGACACCAAGGAAAGCTGAAGAATAGTTTGACAATCAAGTCGTTAGCATCGACAGGTGACCCCTAAGCTAGCGCCCTGTCTAAAATCTTCATTACGACCCACGATGACCTAACCAAATTGTCCCACCAAACGGTTTAACTGTCTGCATCAGTTAACCAAAAGTTTCATACAAGGCTTAGCCTGTATTATAGCTCGTTAGACGTAGTCGAACTTGCATTGGTCTCTCTGTGTGTGTTGTGTTCCTCTCGCCCACAGTAAAGCCAGTATGTTCCGGTCCTACAGTCCCACAACCCGCTGGGACAACCTGGAGAAATGGCTGAGAGCCACGACACCTCCATTCCTGCCCCAGGTCGCCAGTGACTCAGAGCCCCGAGCCAAGAGCAGCTGGACTCAGACGTGGACAAGCTTGACAGCGCCCAAACTAAGCCAAAGCTTCCACGACACGACCAGGCCAGACACGTCAAAACCTCACTTGCCAGCTCATCGCACAAGCACGCCTTCACGAATGGAGCTGCATCGCCCTGGAGCACGAAGTTGCAACGCTAAGGATGCAAGCCGAGGATGACAACGACCCCGAGCTACAGAAGGAAGTACAAAGACTTCAAACTGCCCTGTCTATCTTCTACACAGACTGAAGAGAATAGTCAGAGAAAAGAACCAGAAACGAGAAACTCCGACAAGGCGAAGACTCTTGCAAAGAGCAGAGACTGAACTGAAAGAGACTCGAAAGCCACGTCCTGCGAAAGAAACGCGCAAGAGGCCCGTGCGACCATCCACAATCTCGTCCAGCAGAGACAAGATCCCGAACACGAACTTGACCCACAGAGTTGCAACACTCTTATAGACTGCAGCATGAACGGGAAAGGGGAAACACACACCACAAGTTCCCCCTGACCGGCCTGCACGTTTCAGCCAACACACAAGAGCTGAAAAAGGGGGTGGAAAAGCCCGCCTTCCACAGCATCTCTGACAATCTACAAGACATTGACTTTTCACCTGCGGTCTCCAACCGGTGAACACATGACACCGACACCCAGCAGGACAGACCCAGGAGGGCCTGTGCTATCACCACCAGGCTCCGAACGAGTTCGCTGTGGAACTTACAACGAACCTGTAACTGAGGAGGACGCCAGTTTCAAGAAACTTTTCCTCCAAAACCCGTCAGTCACCATAGTTCTCCTGCCCCCACGCAATGCCCACTCAACGATGCGCGAAGGCCCACTCAGTAAGAATTCCTAAAACCCCAAATTATTCTGAACTGCAAATCCAGAAGACACACTGCACGAACGCCGTGCAAGACTCTGCTAAAAGGTCCTTGATCAACATCGGACGTAGAACTTTTAAAAGTAGATGAAAATGTGTGCTCAAAGAGTTGCGAGACTCTGCTTTTGTAGAATTAGAATTTTACTAAGTTAAAGGAATCTTAGATAGACATGTAAGCCTCAACGGCCGACAGACTATGCACGACTCTTTTGAAACTAACAGTTTCTAGATGTTGTTTAAATCGGCACCGTTAAACATTAGGTTTCGTGACAGTGCAGAGTTACAGAACACACCAGCTCCAAATAGGGCATACCTTACCCTGATGACAGAGTGTAGTAAAATCACCCGAGTTGTAAACTACTGTTAACCCACAGGCGTGCACTTGATCATCGCGATCCAACTAAAACACAACGTGCAATACGCATTTTGATCGCTGGCTTGTCTAAATGCAGATAAAACGAATAGCTGAAATTGACGTCTCTACTTTAAGTAAAAAAAAAAAAAAGCCTTAGATTCCCAACTGGTATCAGGAACTTCAGCATTAAAGCGTAAGTCTGTGTAACAAAGGTACCCTCTCAGCAGCTTGTAATCTGTACCGATATCTATTCTGCTTTGGTTATAAAGAAATCCAAATCGCGGTATAACTAAACCTGTTTCTGACAAAGAAAGCTCAGGACAGAGTTAAATGTATGTAGACCTGGGTGACGCTCCCCTTTATACAAAGTAAAGGCCTTAATTTTATTGGTAGATTGTTGTAATTCACCTAAATTTTAGCTGCATCTACAAGCAGAAAGCCACTAAACGATCAAAACAAGCAACTCGCGGAAAAGTCAGCATTCATGCATGAGAGAGACGTAACTATATATGCTTAGACAAGCTTTGACTTAGCAGCGAATCTATTTCTTTACTCTGTAAACAAATAGAAAAGACAAGCTTTGACTTGCAGCAAATCTATTTCCTTACTCTGTAAACAAATAAGTAGACGTGTAGAGTAAAGAACAGAGTTCCATGAGAAAATTAGCAAATGCCAAAATACATTTGCGTTTTACTTAATGCAACCAAGTTCTTGAAAACCATAAAGTATAGGCGCCTCCTTTTAACCCGTTAAAACGTGCATGATTCATGTAAAATACACAGGCATTCTTCAGGTACTGTTGAATTGCTCTGACACGCTCTGGCTCCCATGACAATAACTTGTCACAGGAAGTGTTAACTCTTAATGTCCCTTTTGTAAACAAACCAGCCTGGGTGGCTAAGCTAACCTAGCCTAGCATCAAGCTAACTTAGGCTAAGCTAAACTAACCCATCACTAAGCTAACTTAGGCTAAGCTAACCTAGCTTAGCATCAAGCTAACTTAGGCTAAGCGAACCTAACCTAGCTCCCATCCAACGTAGGCTAAGCTGAATAACCTCCACAGTTAGCAGTTAGCATCATTTACTTGAACCCTTAATCACCGCTTGTGTTCCACAGTGCAAAGTATTCTAGAATACTTTCCTCAACACCAGTTAGGGTTTCTAATTATTCATTTTCCGTGTTTGCAATTCTTATTAGCTAAAGTTTACCTTCACTGGGTTAGGAATACTCCTTGCTAACCGTTGAAGACTAACTTCGCAGATGCCCTGTTAATTAACCTTAAGTTTAACTACATGTAAACTGCGTAACTAGCTACAGAAGATTTCATATAACCATAGGAATTTTCATCGGCATGTTAACTAAACCTTTGGAGGGACACACACGATGTGGTTTTGAACATACAACCGCTACAACCCACTATAGAGTGTTGATCAAAGCAAATCCAAAGTTTAGTCACTAATGCCACTGATTATTCTCGACTTCAGATCATTCCCGTGTTTTGATCATTTTATTTCCTTTTGCTTGAATTTTTATTTTATTTTTTCTCGTTAATTATTTCATTCCTTTGACCTTGATAATAATAGCAAGCAGCTATTCCCTTGTCTATTAAGTCATCTATATGATTTAATTTCTTTGCCTCTCTTGTCCGAGTGTGGTTCCATTTCCCATAGGGCCCAGAAAGGAAACAGACACCCTTATTTGTTATTTTGGCTTAATTTCAACCAGTGCACTCATTTTGTGACCCTTTAACACAAATAATTTCGACAAGTTACTAGGGCACTACTAGGGCACTACTAGAGTTCTGAGGATCGACAATAAGCAGAATTTAAATAAGAAAGCTGTCCTTTTCCCTATTATCGCTCACTTTGTCGAGCCATAGTGAACCACCAGCTAAGTCCAGAGAAATAATCTAGTCATAAGAACCACCTTACGTCATTTATTTCATCTCGGCTATGTCCTTTCCAGGAAATACCCTCGGACCACAAGACTTAGACCTAACATTCACAGCTAAGATTAGGACACAAGAGACACTTAGCTTTATGCTAAATACTTAACGAACCTATTAAGCAGTAGTTCTGAAGCTTTAGTAGTTTAGGGCCACGCATTAGTCACTCACAACAAGTGTGCCAGAATGCCACAAAGCCCCTGCTTAACCCGAGCCCAACCTTCCAAGGAACCACTGCCACAAACAACGGCATGGCTCCAAAAGGATTTAACAAAGCTAACCAGAAAAGCCACGACATGCAGACAAGACTGTCATTTGCAAACTGTCTAACCAACCTGACTGCATGAAACAGATTCTGCTTGATATGGATTACGTCCAGTCGTGAGCCGCACAGCTTCCTAGATCGTCAAACAAAGACTGTCAAAATGGACTATCAGCTGTTGCAATACGCTTTGATCGCTTAACTCCCTGATCCAGAATCAGACCAAGGGTTATCACCGCCGTGGACATCAAGCAAGCCCGACTTGAAACTCCACCGACTTCGACAAACCACCAGGTATGGAAAGGATGCCAATTTCAGAACTTTGGTCCTTCAAAACCTGCATCCCACAGTGAGTTATTCCGTAAGCACCCTGGCCTGTCCCCGTAGTATGTCTACCAAGCTACGAGACTGGGCCCACAAAGCTCACATTAAGCAAAGACTTTGTCCGAAAAGACTGTGTAAAAAAACCCTCAAACTAACCTGTCTCCGAGCACGACTCAGAGCCGCCTCTACAGGGCACCCCACACATCACAAAAACCTTCACTGAGAGTTAAACCGTTCCAGGCCAGCAAAGGGCAACACAACAGTCATGATGCTCATCTAACGCGCCAGAGCAAGAGCTCTGAAACGTTCTGAAAGCCAGCCGGCGACCCAGAACGAGCCGCACCCCCATCACCAAGAGACTCAAGCCCAACCAGCCCGGATCGGTACCCCTCTCAACACGCCACTGGTAAGCACAAGTCTGAGCACACATCAGACAACAACAGTGCAGCCACGTCAGAGACACCCAGAACACTGCTCGTCAGCATCAGACCACAGAGCTTACTGTCACATCACAAAGTGACAGCATCAAGCAGACACCACCGCTGACAGCTGCACAACCTGAGCATGACAGTCCGGTGTCCCACACAAGACCGGCCCTAACCGCTCAACAATCACAACACCAGCCCAGACGCCAAGACTTCTGGGAAGCCTAATCAAAAAGGGGGTGGCACGACAACTCTACCTAGCCACCACCAGAGACAATGATTTGAGCCTTGCAGGCCTGCCAGACACTAGCTCAAACATCACGTTAATGTCAGCCCAACTCTTTGAAAGACTCTAAGAAGCTAAGAGTCAAGAACGAACTCTCAAATCCCAAACATGTGAGCTGAAGGTGCAATCCTACAGCCAAAACAACATCTGGCTCAAAACAGGTAGCTCCCATTCACCCAACAATTGGCCTTTTGTGCCCGACACACCCACTCCTGATCGGACAAGATCTGTTAGATCGCTTTGAGCCTTTAATAAACTTCAAGCAACTTAATGTCGGTGCTCAAGTTCAAGAACCCATCCCCCTCCAGTCACACAGGTCATGAGAACCTGACTGGCAGGTCACAGAGGTTACAAGAACTCCCGCAGCCAGCCATGAAGGCACATCCTCAGCACCAAATGTAAATGTGAACTTGCTACCCTGCACCTTCCAGCTTACCAAAGACTTGACAAACCAATGGACACTATGAGAAACCACCTCTCATACCCCTCCAACCGCCCACGACCGCAGTATGCACCCACCGACAACCTGTGCCCCAGACACCTGCAGTCACCTTGCACATGCTGCGTGCACAAGACAACATTCTGCGTTCTGCACCTGATGCCACCACTGCGCAAAAGCTTGTGGTGCCACAGTGCAAAAGGGGGGTCAGGCCAATGTATGCCCACGCACCATGTGCTGCACACCGCAGCACCAGAGACACTTGCAAGACACCGAAGCAAGTGGCATACCGGCGTCCTAACCAAGGACAACACCTGCCAAAATTTTTCCTCCCTTTCTCTCTCTCTCTCCCTTTCACTTTACCAGGATGCTGTTGGTGTTCGCCGTCCGGTGCCTTCAGCCAACCAGAGGGCCGCCGCAATCGGACATCATCTCACCAGGACCGGCATCAGGCATCGTCCGAAGGGAACAACCAGGACTCCTCTTCTGCCGGACTCACACTCAGAGAGTGTATGTTCGTCACGACCCTCGCAACGTCTACAGAGCACACTACCCCAGTGCAACAACACAACACAGCTGAGCAAGTGCCCGATGGACAGAGGACTCCCTCACTCACGCTGAGGCCGATGTCGAACACATGCTCAACCAGCTTGAGAAAATGACTGTTAAGTGCCACAACCACCACTCCCAACGGCTTCTAGGAGCTTCCCTCGAAGCCGCCACTGCCGTCGGAACTCTGTTTAACACTGGTATGTCCAGTATCAATGCAGTGGACCTAGTCACCGTGAGGTGGCATGTAGCAGAAATTCAGACTGAGATCCCACAGATAAAGAGCCACTCACAACACAGAGTGCGTCCCTGCAAGACCATCGACAAGACACTAAAGGGAACTGTGGCAATCTTCAACATTCAGCGTTCTGCTGACCCTGACAGTGAACTCCATGAAACAGCTGTTTACTGTCTTCTAGAATGACTTTGCTCAAACTCAGCTGGTAACAGCCCTGATGACAGACATGCTGCGGGAGGTGAACTCCTCCACTGACAGCCTAACCATGGGGGCTGCACAGCGCAGCACCCGGACATCGCAGCAAGTGGCATATCGGCATCCTCAAAAGGCATCAGACTGTCCCAGCCGACAGCCGCTGAAATCTTTCCTCCCTTTTTCTCTCTCTCCCCTGTCTCTGTTACAGGATGCTGCTGTGGACGTCTTCCTGTGCCTCCAGCCAACCAGAGGACAGCTGCAGTCATCACCAGGTCCGACATCTAGCAGCATATGGTCGACTGTCACACAAGCAGAGCTAGATGGACACACAAGCCGCTGCTGTCAGAACGCAGTCAAACACCGGCATGTCCAGCAACAAAACGAACTGAAATCCCACAGCAAAAAGGTAACTCACAACACAGAGTGCCTCCTCACAGACCATCAAGAAATTGAAAGGAGCCGTGACAGATCCACAACGCTCACAGCATTCTACGGAACCAGACAAGTGAACTCCAGCGAGACAACTGTTCACTGCCTGCCAGAATGATTTTGCTAAAATTCAGCATCAAGCAGCCTTTGCTCCGAGACCCGAGCTACCCTGCTGCGACCGAACTTGAGTCAAGTCCCATCCTTTACGAAACCCACGATTTCACCCTGATTCCAGAACTGGAATTATGAACTGTGAAAGGGGGGGGGGGGGGGGGGGGGGTGCCCAGCTGAACTGAACTTGTTTTCAGCGACATAGCTCTCCTAGCTGTGTTTCAACTGCACACCTGCTGCTGCACTGCACTGCACAACTGCATCACCTGTTGTCCAATCCTGGACTGCAGCTGATTCTGCGCTGGGGTACCCCTACAGTAATCAACCACGCCCTGACACTTGACATTCACACTCCACAAGAGACTCAACAAACGCAAACCTCAGCTGCCACTGCCGTCAGAACTCTGTTTAACACTTGTATGCCCAGCATGAATGCAGTGAACGTGAGGCGGCATGTAGCCGAAAATTCAGACTGAGATTCCACAGATAAAAGAGTAACTCACAACACAGAGTGCGTCCCTGCAAGACAAGACGCTAAAGGGAACTGTGGTAATCTTCAACATTCAGCGTTCTGCTGACCCTGACAGTAAACCCCATGAAACAGCTGTTTACTGTCTTCTAGAATGACTTTGCTCAAACTCAGCTGGTAACAGCCCTGATGACAGCCTAGCCATGGGTAGAATTCCACTGCACCTGATACCCTTAAGCCTCGTGAAAACGTGCTGGCTTCCGCCATCACCACGCCAGCTGACTTTCTGCAAATACACCTCGCCTACTCTCTGGGTAGTGCCACCCCACTTTTCTCCTGAACTTACCCATCATGACCGAGCCGAATCCACCGGCTCAAGAACATTGTCAATGGCTGATTTTGAAAAGTAACACTCACATCAAGATCCGCACACCGGACGTGGTTGCCTTCCACGACAGCGACCCAAAGCTGTCCATAGCTCCTAATCCGCACGTGTGCACATTGATCAAAGACACTCACTATCTCTGCCCTAACAAACTTTTCCTCAGAGACAACACTGACGGAATCTGCGGGCTGCAGATCAGCGACACACGCTGCCCTGCTAAAGCCAAGCCTGGCACCCAAGTCACCGAGACCCAAGCCGAGATTGTAGGTGACAGGTGGCCTGTCAACACTCCTGTGCGCACCGCCGCACTCACGTACGACCGGAATGACACTGCCACCCGTGTCACCTTGCTCAACCCGAGCAGGTGAATCCAAGTACCAAAAGGTGCTACCCTCCACCATGACGACCTGGCATCGTACCCTCTTCCAAGTGAAGAGTACCAGTCAGAACTGGAAATCCCATCCTTCTTCAAGGACCACGACTTCACCCTAGATCCTGAACTGGAACTGCGAGATGCAAGCATCTACAGCCGAGCTTACGGGACCCTCAGGAAGAGGGTACCACACTGGAGGCTGCATCAAACCTCATCAAGCTGAGCCCTCAGCACTAACAGCCACCTGCTACCCGACCATCACGATTCACCTGTCATCCGTCCATTGTTATGATTGTCGTCCGATGATGTCCACACAGGGACATCATCTGACGAAAAGGGGGACTGTAAGGACTGGGCGAAGGGTGAATCTGAATAACTAAAGAAGTCCTTGCTAAAATCCCAAAGCCTTCAGACCCAAAAAGCCTGAAAGTAAATTAACACCCCCACACACACACATACACCCACATTCCCTTAAACCAAGCTAACACGGTGTCAGCTTACAAGTTTACGACCTCAAAGGAATGTGCAGGGACTGAGTCCTGGGGGAGAAATGAAACCTTTGTACTCCTATATGTATATATATATATATATCTCCTATGCATAACCATGCGATACATGTATCTAATCTCACGTTACGATTTGTCTTTTATGTGTGCGTGTTCGTCCATGTTACATTGGAAAGACTATGAAGTTATCATTATGCATTTTACATATAACTGTCTATTCCCAGAATTGTTATAAATCGTTCTTGGTCTTGTTTTAATTCTCAGAATCGGATGTGTGGCATATTTAGTCTTGGTACTGTGAAAAGGACTGTATACTGATATGTCAGTGGCAACAACACATTAGTGGCCAACAGCATCTTTCATAAGTTTCTTCACCAGCTAACACCCCCACCCCAGCGTGCACACGCCACGAACACTCTAGAGACAAAGGGCCATAAAACCAGAACTCCCGCCTGTGAGTCCGACCTTCTGATTGGCTGAGCCAACACGAAGAGGTTGTAACTCCCCCGAGACTATAAAAGGATCTTCCCTTCCTCCTCTCCGGCCCTCTTGTGTTCTCTCGATTTCCCGACATCACGTAACGTCCATATCTCCCCTACGGGGGGATTTATCGTTTCTTTTGTTTCTCTTGTTAAAGTTTGCCTACTTTGTTCAGCTTCCCGAAAAGGAAGTGAACTTAGCCGAACTTTCCCTGGAAAATTCACCTCACAGACTTTAACCCTTTCAAACAAGCGCGCACGCAGGACCACGCGAGCCATGGAGCGCGCACACGTACAACACAGGACCTCCTCTTGCGCACGCGGCCGAGAAGGGTCGCGTGCAGGAATGCAGCATCACAGAGAACGAGACAATTTGCAAGTATACATGTTCATCAAAGCTTCTAAGAAGCTTACCATGTTTTTCCATGTTGTCCAAAAAGGGATAGACTGTTCAGGTGAATTGTTCCTACTCTGTGATCTTTCGAGATTCTGCCGAACTCCTCTCAATCTCTCTCTCTCTGATCAATCTCTCTCTCTCTCTCTCCAACTCACTTACGCGTATCCACTGTCTAAACGCCCTGCGTCGTCTTAGTTTGTGTTTTAATGTTTGTAAATACATGTATCATTGTAACGTAGTAAATGTATAAGTAGTTTTGCCATTATTAAATGCAATATATATTAAAAGTCTTATACTCATTGTTGACTGAATCCCTGCTCATAAACTAGTCAATGAAATGTCGATCAAAAGCTACACGCTTTACATAATTGAAGATACCTAAAAAGGGTATTTGTTTATAGAGCAGGAAAACTAATTATTGTGGCCACAGAATTACTTTTCATAAACTCTATAACTAAATTGAGCTAATTAATTTTGCCTGTCTTGTAAAACGTGGTCCGTGTAATTAACTGCAATTAATTTGTGGTTAATTGCAGGGATGCACATGCATGCATTTCGGTAAAATTACAAAGGCTTCCCTCGATGGGAGATTTATTAACATGTAAGACCGATCTAATCCAAACATGTATGAATAATTATTAATTATCAATTATTGATTATGATATGCAAATTCCCCACGGATTAGATCCGCCCAGAGTCTTTACTATACATATTTGACATATTACTTATCAAACAGCTTTGACCCGTACTGAAGGATAAATTATATCTATTTTTTTTTTTTTTGAAAAATAGAATTTTATTGATAGAAAATGTTAGAAAATTATAATTTTCTATTAAATGACAAATTATTAGGAAGAAACAGGATAAAATACATAATTTGATGATAAAATTTCAGCTCATAATAATGTTGAGCTCAAGACATGAGCTGATCATTGAATGTTTTCAAACTCTACAACTATGAGAGATTCTCAAACTCTCCTGATCATTGAGTCTCTACAAAGACTAAATGTGACACGAGTTTGATCCACATCTTCAACTCATTTGTAATGAAGTGTGTTTAAAAGATGACCTCTGACCTGACCCTCAGTTACCATAGTAACAGAGCAAGCAGTTGCTAATAAACTATTTCCTGTGAGTAATAAACTAAATGTTCCTCCATGTGGCGCTCAGGGACTCAAAGACAAATCTCCTGTCTAGCCGCATTCAAATGTCTTAATAACACAATATAAGTAAGTCTGTGGTGTGTCTCGTTTAGACCGAAGTCAATGTGTGTGAGTTTCAATATACACACTGAAATTAAGATTTGAAGAGAGAAAGAGTTTACAGCTGTGTGAGTTAAAGAGAGAGATAATGTGAGTTTCTTTCACTCAACTGTGTCTCAGTTGTTTCTCACAGGAAGCGGTTTAATCTCACACAGAGACACTGAACCACCTAAATGAACCCCAAATCCAGCATAGAGAGGTTCGGTGAATGTGCTGTTGAATGTGTGTAAGTGTGTGAGTGTGTGTGTTTTAGAGACGCTGTAGAAGGACAGAGTGCCGGCCGGCCAGTCCAGATACACTCCTACTCTGTTAGAGGGATGTGAATGGGCAGATATACTCTCATTATTGTGTCTGACAGTGAAACTGTTAATAAAACAGTTCAGACTCCAGGACTTTTCATTGAGTCCAAACCCACAGTCATCACTGTGTCCTCTCCTGCAGATTCCTTTATACGTCACTGATATATCAGCCCACTTGCTCCATTCAGTCTCCCAGTAACAGCGTCCAGTCAGACTCTCTCTACACAGAACCTGAGGCCATTCATCAAATCTCTCTGGACGATCAGGAAACGGCTGCTCCTCTTCCACACGTGTCATTTTACTGTTCCTCTCAGACAGAGCGAGACGAGTGTTTGCCGTGTTTAAATCCAGGGTGAGATCACATGCATCTGAACACAAGAAGAGAGATTATAACTTTTATAACGCAACAAAACAACGATTAAGACTAAGTGTGTGACCTACATTTCTTTAGTCCTTTTGTAGTTCTGAACTTTCCGCCATGATCCAGACTATGAAAACAAGATGTCACAGTCAATTTACATAATAATGATTTTATATAAAAAAATAAAAGTGGGAATTACATTGAAAATTATTCTATCATCTCAATGCTCATGTAAGACTGAACTGAACTTATAATGAACATGTTAATAATGACTTAAATTTTGCTCTGTTCGTCACACAAAGTTATCGCATATCTTTAGAAGACCTGGAATATACACTCTGAAAACTGCTGGGTTGTTTCAACCCAACTTTGGGTCAAATATGGACAAACCAAGTCGTTGGGTTAAATTTTTAAATTACATTTTTAACACAAGGTTTGGGTTTGTCAATATTTGACCCAAAATTAGGTTAAAACAACCCAGCATTTTTTAGAGTGTAGTGAACTATATCTCCAAACTCAGGTCGATGTCTCTTCTGATGAGGATCATTTGAGATCCTCTGTTTGTCTTCCAGCATTTGATATAGTTCCTGATTCACAGCCTTTATCATTAGATAAGACCCTGAAGCCTTAAGCTACAGACTCACCTTTACATTCACTGATCATTTGTGTCTTTATCCTTTCATTTGTGCAAGTGTATTAATCAATAACTGATATTAATCTTCTAACTGATCTGCTTTATTCAGCATCATGAGGTCAATTCTTCATCATTCCTTCTCATTTAGACTGATCTCTGTCTGTATCTTGGATCTGTTTTTGCTTCATGTCTCTGACAGCAATGAGAATTTACTTTCTAGAGCAACAACAAGCTTTGAATTTATGTTTTGTGATCAGAGACATGAGTGTGTTTCTCAGATGCTGCTGCTATGAGTCACAAGCAGCTGTTGATCTTCTGAATCAAGATCATCTTCAGTCACAGAGTTCAAGACACGTCCTTATTTTACTCTGCAGTATATATGTGTGCAGGGATCATGTACAGAGTTTCCAATGACTTTATAATGCACACATGTCCAAACACACATGACAGGATGATTGTTAGTGTTGAACATACTTGAGTTTGTCCAGTCTGTAGTTTGGATCAGAGAGCAGATTGACTAATGATTGTCCTGGGTGATTGTAGCTCAGATCCAGCTCTCTCAGGTGTGAGGGGTTTGAACTCAGAGCTGAAGCCAGAAAACAACAGCCTCTCTCTGTCACCATACAACCAGACAATCTAAACACACACACACACACACACACACAGTCAAATATATTTGATCAGTTTTAGTGTCTTGAAAGTAAAAAAAAAACATTTGGCAATGTAGTTTAATTTGGATATGGGGAAAATTACCAAATCAGCTGTCTTTACACAGTTAAGGTGGAACAAGCTACATGTACATCTGGCATGGCATTTGTTTATGTACAAAGACTGTTTAATGCTGCTCAAATGTGGCATAAATGTATTTATTATTAATAACTGAATAATGCTATGAAATGAATTTAATTTTAAATACAAAGTATATGAATTATGAATAAATTATCAAAAAGCACAATCATGACAATTTAAGATGACAGCTAGATTTAATTTAATCATGACAACTACACTCACCGGCCACTTTATTAGGTACCCTATGCTAGTAACGGGTTGGAACCCCTTTTGCCTTCAGAACTGCCTCAATTCTTCGTGGCATAGATTCAACAAGGTGCTGGAAGCATTCCTCAGGGAGTTTGGTCCATATTGACATGATGGCATCACACAGTTGCCGCAGATTTGTCGGCTGCACATCCATGATGCGAATCTCCCGTTCCACCACATCCCGAAGATGCTCTATTGGGTTGAGATCTGGTGACTGTGGAGGCCATTTTAGTACAGTGAACTCATTGTCATGTTCAAGAAACCAATTTGAAATGATTAGAGCTTTGTGACATGGTGGAAGTAGCCATGGACAATGATCCAAGATGGCGCCGAGGCAGGGCGCCGTAGCAAGAGCTCTCATTTGTGCTGTTTGTTTTATGTTTGTTTTTATCTTTGATGCACTTGCCACTTTAAGCTATGGCCGCGAGAAACTTTTGAGGATTCGCGAGGAAGTGTGTGGACTCTCATATGTTAATATTGATCTGAGGTGTGCCGATTTTGAAGCGTGCCCCATTCGAGGCAAGCGAGGCCAGGAGTCGGGACACGGAGGTCGCGAGCACAGTGAAAAGGCCGGGAGCAGGCGTCGCTACACTCGCCGCTCATCTGAGCCCCTGAGTGGGGGTATCAGCACAGGCGACCAACGGCGGAGGCGCAGACACCGTGGGAAGCGAGGGGGGCTGCTTGTGAGGCTGTCAGTCGCGGATCCCGTTGCCGTCTATCTACTTGGCAAACGTCCAATCACTGCCGAACAAGACGGACGACCTGTTGAGCCGCATTAAGATCCAGCGCGAGGCCCGGGACTGCTCCGTGTTCTGTCTGACGGAGACGTGGCTGCACAGTGGCGTACCAGACTCTTCTTTCCAGCCGCCGGGCTTCTCCGTTCACCGTTTGGACAGGGTGAAAGAGCGCACCGGGAAATCGAAGGGTGGAGGTGTGTGTTTTTTAATTAACAAACTTTGGTGCACGGATTGTGTCATCGTGAACAAAACCTGCAACGCTAACTTGGAATGTCTTATTTTAAAATGCCGCCCCTTTTATCTCCCACGGGAGTTTTCGGTAATGCTCCTGTGTGGTGTTTACATACATCCGCGGGTGGACATTTCGGTTGCCTTGCGGGAGCTAAGTGATATTGTACACAAATTTGAGAACTCCTATGCTAATGCTGTGGTCATAGTAGCCGGTGATTTTAATAAGAGTAACTTCAAAACTGTTTTTCCTAACTACTATCAGCATGTTAAACAACCAACTAGAGGAGCACATATCCTGGATCACTGTTACAGTAATGTAAAATCTGCTTATAAATCTAGTCTCAGACCAGCCTTTGGAAAATCAGATCATTCCTCTGTGTTACTTCTTCCTGTATATATACAAAGGAGTAAACAACTAAAACCTTCATCATGTACTGTTCAGTGCTGGACGAAGGAGAGTGAAATGACATTACAGGGATGTTTTGATGCTACTGATTGGTCTGTGTTCCATTCAGACATAAATATAAACCGTATGTATGTACGTGTACGCGTATGTATGTGTGTGTATAAATATAAATATAAATATAAACCGGCTGGTTGAAGCGAGCACACAGGAAGAAACCGGCTCAACACGTAGGCTATAGAACCTAGCGAACGTGTTAGGTGTCGCCCAACCCGCAGCTCTACAGATATCTGTCAGCGAGGCGCCGTGTGCTAGCGCCCAAGAAGAAGCGACACCCCTAGTGGAGTGGGCTCTCAACCCGGGCGGACAAGGCACGCCTTGGGCTTCGTAAGCCAAGGCGATGGCATCCACTATCCAGTGGGCCATCCTCTGCTTGGAGACAGCCTTTCCCTTCTGCTGGCCTCCGTAACAGACGAAGAGCTGATCTGAGGTCCTGAGGCTTTGCGTTCTGTCCACGTACAAACGCAGAGCGCGGACGGGACAGAGAAAAGCCAGGGCTGGGTCTGCCTCCTCCAAAGGCAGCGCTTGCAGGTTCACCACCTGGTCCCGGAAGGGAGTGGTAGGAACCTTGGGCACGTATCCGGGCCGGGGTCTCAGGATCACGTGAGAGTTATCCGGGCCGAATTCCAGGCACGATTCGTCGACCGAAAATGCATGTAGGTCCCCTACCCTCTTGATAGAGGCCAATGCAACCAGGAGAACTGTCTTACAGGACAAGATTTTTAACTCAGCTGATTGCAGAGGCTCAAAGGGTGGACTCTGAAGAGCCGAAAGGACCAGAGACAAATCCCAAGAGGGTATAGAGAGTGGGCGAGGAGGATTCAGTCTCCTCGCTCCCCTCAGGAACCTAACGATCAGGTCGTGCTTCCCCAAGGACTTACCATCAACAGCATCGTGATGAGCGGCAATAGCGGCCACGTACACTTTAAGGGTGGAGGGAGACAGCCTTCGCTCCAACCCATCTTGCAGGAAGGAAAGCACGGCTCTGATCGAGCATGATCGGGGGTTCTCCTCGTGAGAAGAACACCATTCAACGAATAGGTTCCACTTCAATGCATAGAGGCGCCTCGTAGAGGGGGCTCTAGCGGAAGTGATGGTGTCAACTACCGCTGGGGGTAGGTCACCTAGAACCTCCGCGTCCCGTCCAGGGACCAGACATGAAGCTTCCAGAGGTCTGGACGCGGGTGCCACAGGGTGCCCCGTCTCTGAGAGAGCAGGTCCTCTCTCAGAGGGATGGGCCAGGGAGGGGCTGTCGCGAGGAGCACTAGTTCCGGGAACCAGGTCCGGTTGGGCCAATACGGCGCAACTAACAAGACCTGCTCCTCGTCCTCTCTGACTTTGCACAAAGTCTGTGCCAGAAGGCTCACTGGGGGAAACGCATACTTGCGAAGACCCCGGGGCCAGCTGTGTGCCAGAGCATCCGTGCCGAGGGTCCCCTCGGTCAGGGAATAGAACAACTGGCAGTGAGACGTGTCCGGGGCGGCAAACAGATCTATCTGTGCGGTCCCGAAGCGCCTGAAGATCAGCTGGACCACCTGGGGATGGAGTCGCCATTCTCCCGGTAGCACCTGCTGCCGTGAGAGCTCGTCGGCTGCACGGTTGAGCAGGCCCGGAATGTAAACGGCACGAAGCGACCTCAGATGCTTCTGACTCCAAAGGAGGAGATGGCGGGCGAGTTGTGACATGCGGCGGGAGCGTAGACCACCCTGACGGTTGATGTACGCAACAGTCGCAGTGTTGTCCGTACGGACCAGTACATGCTTGCCTTGTAGCGACGTTTTGAAGCGGCCCAGCGCAAGATGTACTGCTAACAACTCGAGGCAGTTGATGTGCCAATGCAGTTGAGGCCCCGTCCACAGACCTGAAGCTGCATGCCCGTTGTACGTGGCCCCCCAGCCGGTGGTAGAGGCATCCGTGGAGACCACAGAGTGCCTGGACACTTGTTCTAGGGGAACACCTGCCCGCAGGAACGAAGGGTCCGACCACAAGCTGAGAGTTTGGCGACAGTGCGGGGTTACTGGAACCCGGCACGAACCGCTCTGCCACGCCCATCTCGGGACTCGATCGTGAAGCCAGTGTTGGAGCGGTCTCATATGAAGCAATCCGAGCGGCGTTACCGCGGCTGCAGATGCCATATGCCCCAGGAGCCTCTGAAACAGTTTCAGTGGTGCCGCTGTTCTGCGTCTGAGCGTACTCACGCAGTTCAACACTGACTGGACGCGGGCCTCAGTGAGACGCGCTGTCATGTTGATCGAGTCCAACTCCATACCGAGAAAAGAGATCCTCTGCCCGGGGGTGAGTTTGCTCTTCTCCCAGTTGACCCGAAGCCCTAGGTGGCTGAGGTGACTGAGCACCAAATCCCTGTGTTCGCACAACTGCTCTCTCGACTGGGCGAGAATAAGCCAGTCGTCGAGATAGTTGAGAATGCGAACACCACGCTCGCACATGGGAGCAATGGCCGCCTCCGCAACTTTCGTGAAGACGCGGGGCGACAGGGCCAGCCCGAAGGGTAAGACTTTGTACTGATATGCCCGTCCCTCGAACGCAAAGCGAAGAAACGGTCTGTGTCGAGGGAGAATCGAGACATGAAAGTACGCGTCCTTCAGGTCGATCGCTGCAAACCAATCTTGGGGACGGATGCATTTGAAAATGCGTTTCTGCGTAAGCATCTTGAATGGTAGCCTGTGAAGGGACCGATTCAGGACGCGCAGGTCCAAGATTGGCCGTAACCCACCTCCTTTCTTGGGTACAATGAAGTACGGGCTGTAGAAGCCGGTCTTCATATCGGCTGGAGGGACCGGCTCGATTGCGTCCTTCGCCAGTAGGACTGCAATCTCCGCTCTGAGAACAGGGGCACTGTCCGCCAGAACACGGGTGAACAGGATGCCCCTGAAAACAGGGGGGCGCCGGGCGAACTGAATCGCATAGCCGAGTCTGACAGTACGGATGAGCCAGCGAGACGGACTGGGAAGCGTTAGCCAAGCTCCCAGAGACCGAGCAAGCGGGACCAACGGCACCACAGACGTACCCGGAGTGGGGCAGCGTGACGGAATGCAGGGACCCGACTCGGGCGGCATAGCGGCCCGGAGTGGGGTCTGAACGTGTGGTGCAAGACGTACCTGCTTCCGTCGGAGGGCAGAGTGAGTGTGCGGAGGCGATAGTGCGTCCAGGACACAGCCACTGCTGCCCGCTGGCGATGGAAGAGGGGCTCGGGAGTGACAAGGCATAGCGTCGTCGACTGCCAAGCGCGCCCTCTTGGGGCCCAGAGGTTTCAGAAATTGCTCTTTCTTTGAAAAGGTGGGTACCACTGACCCGTGGGTCAGTGGCGGAACAAAAAGAAAAGGAAACAAAGGATTCTCCACCCGGCCCTCCACCGGGGGAAGGAGTGGCACGTCCGCCATCTCCTGAAGAGCAACTTGATCCACCTCTGGGCCGCCCGTCTCAGGGATGCTTGCACCGGCACTTGCCTCCTGGCTTGGCAGCGGCCTGGACGGGCGGGGTCGACTTCCTGCGGCTTGCTGCACGCTGAGGCCTGGATGATGGCTGCTGCTGGGGCCTAGCGGGAGCGGAGGACGCCGCAGGAGGCCGACCTCGGCGACGAGTAGACGGAGGAGCTGCGGCCGGCGGGCGGGGGGTAGCAGCAGAGGTCCGCCGGGGCAGGATGTGTCGGATGGCCTCCGTCTGCTTCTGTGCGGCCGAGAACTGCTGGGCAAAGCTCTCGACCGCGTCGCCGAACAACCCAACCTGGGAGAGAGGGGCATCCAGGAACCGGTACTTATCGGTGTCCCTCATGTCCGCCAGGTTGAGCCAAAGGTGGCGCTCCTGGACCACCAAGGTGGACATCGCCTGACCGACTGAACGTGCGGTTTCCTTCGTCGCCCGGAGGGCGAGGTCGGTTGCCACACGGAGCTCCCGGAAGAGCTCTGGGTCAGAACCACCCTCGTTCATGTCCATGAGCGCCTGGGCCTGGTGGACCTGCAAGAGCGCCATGGCATGAAGAGCGGAAGCAGCCTGTCCACAGGCCTTGTAAGCCCTCGCCGTTAGACCGGACGAGAACTTACAGGCCTTGGACGGGAGGCGTGGGTCACCCCGCCAGGAGGAGGCGGACGCCGGACACAACTGCATCGCGACAGCCCGCTCCACTGGGGGGATCCCCACATACCCCTTAGCTGCCCCGCCGTCGAGGGTGGCGAGGGGAGAGGAGCCACTAGGACGGCTTCGGGCACTATACGGTGCCTTCCACGTCTTAGAAAGCTCCTCATGCACCTCCGGAAAGAAAGGTACCGGGGCGGCGCACTGAGAACCAGCACGGCCCGCCCCGAGAAACCAATCGTCCAGCCGAGAAGGTTCGGGACGTGGTGGAGGATTCCACGCAAGCCCGACCTTCTCGGCGGCCCGGGAAAGCATAGCGGCCCACTCTGGATCCGGCTCGGACAACGCTACACACCCCGAAGGGGGCAACGCAGCCGAGTCGTCATCTCCATCGGGGCATAGGCGAGGGGACTGCACCTCCCTTGAGGTAAGCGAGTCTCGATCTAAGTGCTGTGATAGTCATATTCCCGCAATGGGAACATGAACTATCCACAAAAGCTGCTTCAGCGTGCCGAATGCCCAAACACGAGATGCAGCTATTGTGGCCATCTGCTGGCGCCAGGGAACGACTGCATCCAGAAACGCACAAGCGGAATGACATCTTGAAAAAGACGCAGGGTCCGCTTGTGTTGCTCTTTTAGTAAAAATAAAAAAGGAAATTGCTCTCACAGTGCTGAGGCGCCCAGGGGTAGCCACTGTGTGGACACACACACACACACACACACAAACAAAAGTGCTGTGGGAACAGCAGTTGAGAGCTGCACTGCTCGCGGCCACCGCTGATCGCGCCGTCACACCAACACTGGAACAGAGATCTTCCTCGAGTCTTCAAAGGCGTTGAATCTCAGACACACAGTCACAGGAAACTCGCGCTCCGAAATGAAAGACGGTGGGTGCTCGCGCCGCTTCCTGTTTTATACCCGCGCTGCGGGGCGGGGGCGCGTGACGCGTGCACGCACGCCAACGTTCATTGGCTTGTTCTTAGATACTCGAAGTTGATAGGGCTCCCTGAAGTGATCCCCTAACGTCGTCACGTCGACGTCACGTCGAACGTGAGCGACTGAAGGGGAACCTGCAAAACCTGTGATTATGTGAGTTAAAGGCTGTTTATGAGAATTCCTGTTTTCAATATCTCAGTATCTTCAGTTTAATATTTTTCTTTGGAGTTGCATTTACCGGTTGACATGTACAGTCACGACTGATGGATTTCAAACTGTATCTGGAAACTGGATCTAATGAAGCGCAGCCCACACAAAATACGTTGAGAGATATATGTCAAAACGTTTTTGTTTTGTTTTTCCTGAAAAACGAGAAAACCTATATAGCCTATATATAAGATGTATTCTATTCACTCACTTTGGTTTTAGGCCTAAACGGTAAATTATCAAAAGTCTTAGCAAGAAACTTGCTGTTTTCCCCCAAACTACTGCAGTTTTTTCAATTGCTTTGGCACATTTGTCGAAACAGTCCTAATATTCTTTAAACTGTGAGTTCTATTTTCACAACGGTTTGCTGAACATCAGAACTCTATCGCATAGCTCTATCACTCTCTATCAGAACACAGTAACACACAGTTGTCCTCACAGGTTACAGCACTGCAGTGTGTGTGTCATAAGGGCCCTGCACACACAATATTATTAAAGATACATATAATACATACAATTTTTATTTTATCACACTGATAATACTGTGCAGGTTTGTTTAATTTGTGCATTGATTATTTATTCTACGGTAACAACAACATATGTGTGTGTAAACAGTTTCTATAAAATGAAGTGATGACAATGAAATTAAATGAAGCTATAAGGTTCAGAGTGTGTTTCCCGCACATCATTATGACGGTGAGACTTAAATACTCACAGTTTTGAGAAGAGCACTGCTTTAAACCAAGCTTTTCCAGTAAAAAGCTTTTCCCAACAATTTCTATTTCAGATAAATGCTGTTCTTTTGAACTTTCAAAGAATAAAAGAATCCTGGAAAAAAAAATGTACACACTGTTTTCAACATTGATAATACTCAACAATGCTTATTAGCATATTAGATTTCAGATATTAGAATATTAGAATGATTTCTGAAGCATCTGAAACATTTCTCAAATTATAACATCTTGTAGGCCTACTACGGCCTAATAAAGCTTCATAATTTTTTTGTAACGGCACTATATTGTTCAGTCAACAGTTTTAAAAATAAACTTCTTTTAGAGTGAAGAACATTTTAAAAAAATCTAAAGAACATGTTCCACTATAAATAACTTTTTGTTAATAGAAAGGTTCATGGATGTTAAAGTTTCTTCATGAATCATCGATGCCAATAATGAACCTTTATTTTTAAGAGTGTCGCGCTCCTTTTGACAGAGATCATGAAAACCAGATTTGTATTTGATAATGACATTTAAGCGACGAGACCAACACGATCTCACGAAAGTGCGTAACTATACAACGAATGTTATTTCTCGTGCCATTTATACGCCAAAAATGTTTTTTTTTTTTTTTTTGCGTGCATATGCTACGCACTGAAAACGCTTGGTTAGGATTAGGGGTGCGGAGTGCGTGCGTATTACACGCCATAAAGTGCGTATCATGCACGCAAAAACTGCGTATCAAAACTATTTTTGGCGTGTAAATGGCACGAGAAATAACATTCGTCGTATAGATACGCACTTTAAGGAGATCATGATCAGATGATCCGCACACATACTGTATCTGTACAAAAAAAAAGCAGTTTTTAATGTTTTTATTTCTTACTCTATATATGTATGATCTGTAGAAGATACTGATTCTTTTAAGTTTGCTTTATTTTATTTATCAGTTCTTTGAAGACTGGTGTAGCCTAATGATGCTGCACTTTCAGCTTTTATCACAGGAATAAATTACATTTTACAAAATATTCAAATAGAAAACGTTATCTCAGATTCTCTAAACTGTTAAACATTGCTCTGTATTTTGTTAACTAAATAAAGAAAACCATGATGCTTTTGTGGGTCAATTTGAAAGGGATAGTTCATTCAAAAATAACAAATCTATGCACTCATGTTGTTTCAAAGTTGTGTGACTCTGGGCACCAATATTGGGTCAACTGGTTCCCAATGTTCTTCAGAATATCTTCTCTTCTGTTCCACAGAAAAAAGAACAGTTTTTCTGAATATTACACAACACCCCAAAGTGACACTCCTCATTCATTCAGTCTCTTTTATGTGATGACATGGAATTACAATGACGACTGACGTCATGAGATTTTGGCAGCATAAATAGTGGATCAGAATCAATCTGTGAGACAGACTGCCTGATAATAGCCTACCGTTTATTATCCAGCTTTGATCACCAGCACAATGACTGCAGCAATCGCTGAAGGATGGAGCACAGAGGCGTCTGCCACTGAGGAGGTGGAGAACATGTGCATTAAGGTAGGAGACTGAAAATCACTCTTGTAGTAAATGCAGTTTTTATTCAAACACAGCCTGATCTAGTTTGATGCTGTAAAATGTGTTGGCGAAATTATTTGTTATTTTTTAAAGAACTTTTTTACTTTGTTTTACTTTTCACTTAAAGTCACAAAACATTTCACATGAGTTTTCGGATATCTGAATGATAGACGTACCTCACTAGACCAATAAACGAAATCTATTTAAAGTAATAATATAGATATAAAATGTGCATTTGTTTATTCAGATGAAGGCAGACACAGAGAAGAAGGCTGGAGTCCATTTTGATGTTTTCATTCCTAAAACCTTTAGGTCTGAGCCAAAGTGTGGTGGACACTATCTGGTCAAGGTAAATGAGTATTTTTTGGGGTTTTTATGGATTTTTTATGGAATACTTCTGGCACAATTTGTATGTTTCCTATATCAACAAGCCAACTGTGACAGTGTGTCCTAAACGGATGTGATGTGTCCAGTAATTTTTCAGTCCTCTCTGAAAAGGTTAAGTGAATCAAGTATAAAGTTTCTCTGCATTTGTATAAGAGAAAACTTCTCAACTTTGTAGCATTGCTGGACACTCAAATTTACTCTGCAATGGTCACTGTAGCAGAACTCGTAGAAATATGATTGTTGTCATGGAAAATGAATGTGTTTAGGTCTTTATGTGAACAGGCTTTTACATGGAAGAGATCACTTAAAATTCAAGTGTGAAAATCTCTCTCTCTCTCTCTCTCTCTCTCTCTCTCTCTCTCTCTCTCTCTCTCTCTCTCTCTCTCTCTCTCTCTCTCTCTCTCTCTCTCTCTCTCTCTCTCTCTCAGGTGAAGGTCGGAGTAGATGAGTACGTTCATATTAAGGTGTGTGGAGGAGTGTTTAAAGACATTGACAAATGTCTAACTCTGAAAGAAGTCCAGTACCCTAAATCCAAAAGTCACCCTCTGGAACCCTTCGGAAAACATTCAACCGCATGCGGAAAATAGTCTGTCTGATATAATAACAGACAAAAAATGAGCTGCCAAGTATAGAGGAACTATTGAAAACTGTTTCATTCCTCAATATTAAACTCAATATTCAAACCCTCAGTGCCTGTGTCAGTGTGTTTATATGAAGATGTGAACACCACATTGAATTCACTTTACTAAACATGTTTTATGCTGAAACAATAAACATAAAAAAATGAACATAAAAAAACAGTATAACGTGTGAATGACATTGATTTCTTAATTTTAAGACTGTACTGACTGTCTAAATGAATGTAATTGTAAAACATTTTGTATACAGAATGTATTTTTAATATTTAATTTAATTAATAAAACCCACAAATACTTACAATATTTCACATGATATTATATTTTTTATTTCCACTAAAAGAGAAGCGTTTAGCTCTGATCTGCCCTAGGAAGTGCAAATTTATGGCCAGGTATAACCATACAAATATGATATGTATTTTTATCTTACTGCATGACAGAGAGAGAGAGAGAATTGAATTTAAATACACATTTTATTACAATCAAAAATAAAACATTATTTCATTAGGCCTACATCATTCTACATTTTATAAAACAAAAAACAAAACCACACAAAAACAACAACAACTCTAAACTGCTATTCATACATAACATCATAAAAATACTCCTTTTACTGCAAACAAATAGCAAAAATTAGTGTCCCTTCATGAACAGAACATAATACCTCTCCACTACACCATTTCATTTCAAACAATGACAAATCATTCATAGCCTTGAAAAAATTTAAATCTGTGATTATTCTGGACTTGATCAGATTGGAAAAAAAACACCATTACATCTTGTCCAGAAATGTTTTCGATCTTATTCTTCCTACTCACATATTGCCATTTTTGATTGGCCAAAAACAAAACTTAACGACTGACACTCAGAAGCCTTTCTCTTTACATATTTAAACCCACAAATAAACATTTGCATAGAGAATTTTTCATTAAAAGTCTTAAAAAAAGACTCTACAACAATAAATAATGGTCTCAATCTATCACAAAACATAAAAGCATGAAAAATGGTTTCTCTCTGCAAGCAAAAAGGACAATCAGAACTAATCTCTGGGTTTATTACAGAAATAAAAGCATTCACAGCTATGACTCCATGTAAGATTCTCCACTGCATGTCACCCGCTCTCTTAGGTAACGGTGGCTTATATAGTGCTCTCCATTGTGGTCTAAAATCTCTACTAAGCCCAATGACATTACGCCAAGGTGTATCACTCCTGTTATGTAGAACTTTTCTGTTAAACACTTTCACACAATTTTTATACACATCTTTCACATTAAATGAACCAGCACTGAAACAGACATCTTTCTTCTCCAAAAAAGGACATTCATACTCATCCATTTTAGGTGACAGGCTTAAAATATGGAAAGGGTCATCCTCCTTTGGCTTTATGACACCTCTACAAAAGTCTTTGATGGTTTTCAACTCCTCTTCTTCAAGAACTGACCTCCACTTCATTAAAAGTTGCTGAACCAACCTTAAAGGGGTCATATAATGCCATTTTTGTACAAGCTAATATGATTCTTTAGGGTCTAAATTAAAAGTTTGTAATATACTTTAATTAAAAATTCTCATTAGTATTGTAAGAAAACACTTATTTTACCTGGTAAAAAACAGCTCTGTTTTCAGCACGCCGTTTCAGTGTATATGACTTTAAATGATAATGAGCTTTGCTCACCCCGCCTCTCTGTTCTGTGCGTACACCGTTTGTAACACAATAACACAATAACCATAACGCGTTGTTCAGTATAAACGTGGGATTATGAATTATATTGAGAACGTCATACATTGAAAACATGCCGTAATGTACCCTGAGTGTAAACCTTAGACGCATTCATTGTGAAGCGTGCAGCTAGCGATTTACAAGGGTTAATATAAATATTAATATAAAGTTTAATAAAACGTTACACTCACTTCGGTTCTTCTGGAGGTTCAGCAGGAACAGGAGCAGCTTCTTAGCAAAACCAGCTTTATACTGATCCTCGTTTATAAAGCAGTCTGGTGTGTGAAATGATTCGCGCAAACATGAGAGCATTGACGTTGCTCGTGGGGAATATTCCCTTCGAAAACAAACTCAGCCACTGCGTCTTCAGCGGTTCGGATTTAGGAACATTAAAATGACTGTGTTCGTTATTACACCCAAGAACAGAACACCACAATCGCTTAGACGCCATTCTGCTCATAGACAGTGCTCCAGCATATCAACAATGACTGCGCCGGACACTGCAGAACTTTTGGCCACCAGGGTGTACTCGACCTGAAATTTTCACGTCTAGTGCCCCTAGAGGCCACAAGCGCCGCAGCATTGTCGCAAAAGTCAACAAACAGTCAACCGGTCAACCTCCCGTGTATGTGTGTGCAGACGGCATTTGATTTGTATGTTGGAGAAAGTTAATCGATTCACTACTGACCAAAATAATAATATAAATATAAGATTAATAATATAAATCCTATAAAGAAAACAAATTGAATAAAAGTAGCTGTGGTGGCGATTTTATGATATTCATTGATCTTTAGTAAAATATAGATGATTCAAAGAATGTCACATGTGTGTCTCTCACTTGTAGTGAGAGAAGATTCTGTTTATGTACCTGGGGAGGCAGAAGGGGGAGACACTCCAGAGAACAGACGAACAAGGACCTCTGACCTAGATGTCAGAAGGCCATTTGGTGCAGGGGGGCTTAGTGGGCCAACTAGTGACGCCTATGGAAAACTACTGGGAAGAAGGCCTTGAAACTAGGATAAAAGCTGGTTCAGTCTGTCCGAGGGTGTGTCACTCTTCTGCACAGGGTAACAACTGTGTATTAGACTGCTCCTATTCTTGCAAGAATAAATACTTCTATTTTTATAATTTGACTCTGAGTGTCTCTTACGCAGTGATGTTTGTTTGATGAATTATTGCCACAACAGTTTTGGTGTCAGAAGTGATATTCCTTGACGTGCCTCCTGGACCTGAGATCGGACGGTGTTTGGCCACCTGGACTGAGTAAGTTCCAGCTCTACCTCGTAAACTTGAGAGAGAGGGGCCGACCGATATCAGGGCCGGGAGAATCGACCACTGGAATCTAAAGAACCCGCAAGTGGCATGAAACAACGTCTCTGGTAAGGGTCATTTAAATTCGGTTTAATTGGGGGAAGAGTGAAACTGAACCATATTGGCTGAGAGCTGTTTTTCTGTGGTACATAATCTGAGATTAATTGAGATCTATATAGATCAAAAGAATTTCAAACAGATACGAGAGAAAATAATCTGAGATTAATTGAGGTCTGTAACAGGTCAAGAGATTTCAAGCAGATAAATAATCTGGGATTAATTGAGAACTGTGACAGATCAAGAGATTTCAAACAGATAGGCAACCTGGAAATGAGTTGTTCCACGGACGGAGCAAATTGTTTTTAGGTGCTGAGGCTAATTAGGGGGAACCAGAATTTTTTTTGGAAACCATAATTAGGAGGGCACTAATAGTGCAACCCGACCGATTTGGGTTAAAAGAAAAGAATCGGATTTGCTGGGGACGCCCAACAGATTAAAGAAAACGCGCGTTGAAGAGAAATCCACAGAGAACAGAGAAGCAGCCAATATGGGGAAGTCTCAAGGTAAGCATGCAAAATTTGATACACCGGTTTTCTATCAAATGAGAAAATTATGGGGGAAAATTTATGTTTTAGATATTGGAAAAACTGAGAAAATACCATGGCACAAGAAGGACTGAAAGTAGTGCGAGAATCAGTTGAACAGGGCAGTGAGAAACAAAAAGGTTGTTATGGCTGTGGTCAACGTGTGTAAGCAATGTGGACAAACAATGGATTGTTGTCTTAAAGGGGCAGGTAAAAAAGTCGAACTGCCGAGAGAAATAAGGTTTTTACTTCTTCATCCAGTAAATGGATGCATGACATTAGATGTCTAGAGAACTTGAATTTATATGATAAGGATTGAAGTAGCAAGCAGCAATAAGGCTGTCTGTGTGGAATAGAGGGAACTGTAGGTGAGACACTTGATGAAATAGAGGAACTGGGGAAAAAACAAGGAGGTTGGTGTGTGAGATATGTTTGTGTTGGGATTGTATGTAAACAATCATGTACTGGTTAGATAATGAAGGAACTGGCATGTTTGAGAAAAGAAAGGAGAGGATACAGAAGGAACTGGGCATGTAGGGAAAGATTGAGAAGAAATATAGTAGAAAACTATGTGATGAAAATAAAATGTCTGACAGAATTTATGGAAGTCAAATTAACTGTTTAAATGATATGAAAAGTCAGTTTTAGAATAAAATAAGGCATTGTATGATTGACAGGGATTAACATGATATGAAGAATGTTTTGAGCAAAATGGGGAACAATTCTATATTTTTAATGGTAAAATAAAGATTGAAATGATGTTTAGTTTTAGTTTGACAATCATTGTGTTTTGAACCTAAAGGGTCTATAATGGGGTAGTGAAAGGAATGGATTTACCATCCATCTTCGTTTATTATAAAAGGAATTGGGAATTATAGTTTTATAAAAAACGAATGCGTATATCCTGGTATTTGTGATTGTAGACAATGTCTGTATCTAATATCTGAGGAGTGACTGAGGGTCCAGCTATGCTGGGAGTACAGCAACAGTGTTTGCTTATTCAGCCCGGCTTCACGGATGTCAGATATGTACTTGTTCTGTAATTAGTGTTGTTGATGATAATACCAAATTAGTAAGGTGTAAAGACAGCTATGTCCAAAGATTCTGGAAGCTCACAGTGATCAAATAGTCAAGGTGTCTGATGCTGTAGTTGAGGCTGACACATGAACCCACCAGATGACAGAGAGTGTCTTGATTGTGGTCAGTAACTGTAAATGCCCACCGA